TACTCAGGAGCTTCCTCCCAGTCCAGTCACATGAAGGTGCTTAAAAACCTAAATTCTCCTGGGATCAGCAGTTAGTCGACTGTGGTTCGAGTCCCAGACCGGCAGCTTAAACTCATGCTGGGTGTGTGTGCATGTGTGTGCCCAAGATCCCGAGAGGAGAATGGAGGAGAAGGGATTGTGGCGTAGCCATCCCCCCGGGGGGTGATTTCTCGCTTTCTGTCTCTCTGTCTTTCTGGCGAGCACACATGCCCTATAGCAAAAACCTCTCAAAAACAAACAAGCAAACAAAAAACCAAAACTAAATCCTCCCCATCACAAGTCAGATGAGCTAACGATACACAAGATAAATGGCAGGTGAAGCAGGACAAAGAGGGGTCCCCATGGCTAAGACTGCACACCTCCCGGGGCACGAACTCCGCAGCCAACCTCTGATCCTGGGAAGGCTTGGGGGGGTAGATGCAGGGTAGAGTACCATATGCATGGAAACTCGGAGGCTGATGAACTGGAAATTCAAGTTCTGTCCTCCCTAAAGGGGACATGCTGCCCCCAGTCCCAGCCCCCATCACTGCCAGGGTCAAAGAAGATGGCACACGTGCAAAGTGCCCACCTCAGCATGAGCACTCGCCCGTGAGCACTCGTGAAAACAGCACTGACATTTCTAAGCTACTAACAAGGGTGTAGGGTCTGGCATCAAACCAAGTAGTAAGTGACGTCAGGCTACATCAGAACTCAAAAAGCCCCAAGGGGCTCGGCTCCCACCTCCAGTCCCCTGAGATTTCTTCCCCACCTCTGGGACGGAATCTGGTCTTTCAAACTCATCAATATACGAGTGTGACTACACAGAACCCTCCCCTGCCATCCTGTCCTGGCCCACGTGCTGCACAAGGACAAGGACCAGGCCATGGCCTGTACTGACCACCTCCTTACCTCCTGTGCCAACCACAGCAGCTGAGACACAGGGGCCCCATCAGAACTTACTGGCAGAATGAGTAAGTGGATCACCCATTCGATCAGAGTGCAGCGTGAAAGCCATGTATCCTGCTAGCTACCCACGCAAGGTAATGAAAAGGTTTTAAAGAGAAGTGTCAAAGGACCTGCTCCTGCAGCAGAGTGTATCGGCGGCAGAATCCCTGCTGTGTGACCCTTCGGTCCCTCCCCACTGCAACTTGGTGGCCTCTTATTCTTTGGTTCTCTTATTTGTTCTCCGCCTTGTTCCCAAAGTGATTCACTACACCCAATGCTGCTGCTGACTTCAGACTCCACGGTCTTTTACAGGGCCACACGCACACATGCACACACGTGCACATGCATGCACATATGTGCATACGAGCACATACACACACACATTCACAACCTCTCTCTCTCCAGCACTTCTTGCCCAAGTGCAGGAGCCACCTGAAGCAGGAGGAGGAGGGGCCCTAGAACCAGGGCAGTGGCAGATGGAATGCATAGGATTCTCCCTTCCCTGCCAATATTCTTCTAACATGACAATCAAGTGGAGAAAGTGGGATGCCCAAAAATGAAGAGTCAGAGAGGAGCACAGCACACGAGGATGCCAACGACACCTGGAATCGTGGGAGGTGCAGGGTTCAGCCCAGCAGAGGGGGAGGCACCTAAGGTCTGGGGGGCCACACCAAGCAAGGTTAATTTACTCTAGATAGAGAGCCACAGGTCCCAGAGTCACCAGATACCACTGGAAGGAGGGTGAGGAGCATGGAGGTGGGTGCAAGTTCAGGGCTACAACCAGTGTACTGGAACAAGGTCCATAACCAAAGGGTCAGACTCACAGACCCCGACCCCCATTTCAGGTATATTCCCACAGAAAGGGAGCCAGCAAGGCTCAGGATTCCAGAACACCGGCCCAGCACAAAAGGAGTGAGTGAGGGAGTTAGACTACAAGGTGGAAACCGGGGGTGAGCTATGCACCTGGAATGGTGGGGCACCCTGCCTGCCACCACCCTAGCTTACCCTCCTTCCTGCTTCTAAAAGTCTCCCCTAATGGTGATGTTAAAGGATCTGTTTCTGGAGGAACTGGAGAGAGTGAGAGTTAAAGAGAGAGAAGGTACCAGAGGTAGACCAGCAGGCCAGAACTCCGGGTCTCCTATTACAAGGCTGGTTTTGCTGCACCTTTGCATGGTGTAGCCCACGAACCAACAGGCCCCAGCCACCCATCCAGCTCCACTCCTGAGTCAGCCTTACTCTTGAATATCAGCTGAGAACAGAGGACCACTTGCATTGGGAAGAAGT